AGGAAAATTGGAAAAAATCACCCAAAAACTAAGTCAAAGTCAAAAATTCCTTTGTTATTTTGCTCTGTCTTCCTATTCAGATGACCAGAAGTAGCTCAATGCATAGTACTGTGCCAGCAACAAGCTAGCTGTTAACCTATTTAAAACAGGAGAAAAAAATAAGTTTAAAAATTGGATTTTCAATCAAATTCTTGTACGGAAGTGAGTAAGGATTGAATTGCAAATAAAAAAATGTGAGTAATCTGACTGGTTTAGGAATGGCAACATTCCGGATGAGGCTAAATTTCATCTCGAAACAGCTAAAGCCCACGGAACTGCTTTTGTTTTGAGAACCATTGAAATGGGTGGTCCTTCCCGAAACGAATGTCAAGATCGCCAGCAGGCTGACCACCAGGCAATGAAGCTTGATCAAAATAACTGGAAAATTATCGGTTGTACAGACGGAGAAAAAAAACTGTGAACTAGCAGCTGCTTGAGATATTTCAGATAATCTAACTGAACTACGAATAACGGTGATACATCGAAGTCTCGAAGCACTAACTGGAAATACTGGAAACGAATAGTTCTGGCGTTTAAGTGGCGCACGTGCCGCGTGATGTGGCGGACGTGGACCACGAGCTGGCACCGAGTATGTGACCTCTGCGTTCTCTTTTGATGACTTCAATCGCCTTGAAAGCGATAGTATCGAGTGCAAACGCCGTTGATGCATGGTTTCTATCACCTGAAAATAAGCAAAGCTTTACAAGACAATAATGAAAGTGAACAAAAAAGAAAAACGCAAATGTTGAAAAATAGTGGATAAGGGGGTGCACTGATGATTCCCATCCCGCTTGTTGCCCATGTTTACAGCTAAGGGATGAAACACAGGCAGAACCGCACCACATAATCCATCCGCACATGCGATAGGCATATAACGACTACATATCTCTCTTCCTCATACTTTTTCTTACTTTTTTATGCATTTTTTGCATCTATGCAATGCAAAAACGCATATTATCGAGGGGATTGCCTCTGTGTGTGTGTGTGTGTGCGTGTGTTGTGTGTGTGTTTGTGTGTGTGTTCGCCTCCACTGACTTTTCGTACAAAACTACAGGGCTAAAACTTTGGGAATTTCATCTACATGCATGTACGTGCCCCCGCTGCCAAAATGGACGTTCCTACGTATGTGTCCACGAAAATTTTTAGCGGGCAAATTGCTAGCTAGGGAAACTGAAAAACTAGAAAACTGGAATTTTGAGAGAACTTCCCTCGCCCATGCAAGACTTAATGAGTTCAAACCCAGCCTCCAAGTGTGCGTGGTTTCCACGTACTGGCACCTGAAAATTTTTGCTGGGTAAGTTGCCAACCAGAAAAGCTAGAAGGCTGAAATTTTAAGGGAATGTTTTCTCACAGTGTGGCGGCCAGTCCTAATTGTTTTAGTTAAAACATCTGCCTGAAAAACCGGTGCCGCTAGTGACGGAAACCTGCAGGGAATTGTGCACAGAACGTATTTTCGCACTGGCAATCGGTGAGCTGGCCAATTATTCCCCTTGCGCTACCCTTCCCGCACTTCGCCATCTGCACAATTTTTCACACTCCTCATATTTCTAAAAAGTTTTTCCCAGTTTTATCAAACGAAAAAAAGGGCATAGACAGCGCAAGGCAAGCATATTTAACGTGTCATATCGTAGTCCAGAAATGTTCAGGACTAAAACCTTCTTTTTATAGGTCAAGTAAAATGTGCAGGAACAGCGAAAATTTATCAATTCTAATACAGATGTTATCAAGCAGCCAGTACAATATAAAACAAAAGAATCTTTTACCGGTTCAGTTACTCATCAACATCGTACTTACCAATGACACCATAAAAAATGCGCCTAAAGAATGCTTACATACATATTTATAATACAAAAAGAAAAATAGGCCTCATTCGAGCGAGAAAACAGGTCTCATTCGAAAGAAAAATAGGCCTCGAAGGACTTAATATTCCTAAGACTTGATTATCCAACACAGACCTGACTGGGAGACAGTACTTCGGCCAAAAGAGATTCAAAACTGTTGCCGGCGATGATTTTCTATGAAATTTAATGAAAAAATTGAATAACATTCGTGACATACACTTTCCACTAATAAACTATCATCAAAACAGTAGTTAAGTGTCACTACGAACGATAGGCAAAGCTTTCAGTCACAAATGGTACTTCTCCTGAATCTGTTATCTTGCCATTACTGGAAAATTAGGTAGAAATCCTCTGTATATTCATCTCAGATCAAAAACAATGGTCTCAGGATTAGCCCCAGCAGAAGCATGACTCTCAGCGGCTCCCTCTTTCTCAGTTATCTAATGGAGCAGTATTTTCTTAACTTAATTACCATTCTTTTTTAGATTTAGCTTTTTTGAAAAAATGAAAAATCGATATGAGAAGGTGCCATGATTCACGTTCTCCGCTATGGGAACAACAAAAGGATAGAGCTTCGCAGAAAATGCGCGCTATGGTACATAAAATATAGCAGGACATGCAAATTATGCTCAACAACATGCAAACTATACACATTCTTAGAGTTACACAAAATTTTTGCACAAACACACACACACTTATCATCGACTACAGCAGAAACAGATCCATTCAATTCAATATAATTTCGGATCAGGCCAACCAAAAACGTTAAATGATGGCATTTTGACTGACAAAAAAAACTAGCAGCTATATAAGCAAATTATAATTTACAGAATGCCTCAGGGTTTGACCGGCAAGCAGTCCCTCTGAAGCCGATGCATTCGAACGAGTACTACCAAAAATTACCTTCAGAATCATCAAATGTATGACCTCACTTGACTGTACTTAGAATTTTGATTCTCCACTTGACTTATTAATTGTTTGTTTGCAGCTGCTACTCATATTCGTTCCCGCCTCAGTAGAGAACAAATTCGAAAGCGGATTTGATTTTCACTAAATTATACGGAGAAGCAATTTTTTTCTTCCGATTCGTTACTGATTAAATTCAAATTTCGTTTTTACAGGAAGGGAGCATCCAGGATTTTTAAAAAGCATAAAAAAGACAAGAGAAGAAAACAATTATATAAGATCGGGGAGTGATTTACCCTTCCAAAACATCGTCCAAGAAATGCAGCATCTGGTGAAAAAATGCCCAAAAGTGCCGAAAAAATGGATGTTTATGAGTTTCTACGTTACAGCGTAGTCAGTACGTTTTAGAATTCATGGAATGACGCAAATTGGTAGCTAATCATACAAATGTACAAATCACAAAAATGCATAAAGCTTTTGGAAAAAAAAAAGAAATTTTAAATATGCAGCTATAAATTAGCTATGTGACAAGGCGGTGTCCGCAAAACCACGTTCCAGTTGTCGTGGCTCGGTTGGAATGTCTGTCGGCTGCTGCACAATTAACGTCAAAGGCGTTTCGATGAGTTCCTGAGGATCAACTCGCGCTTCTTCAAATGTATCCTGAAAACCATGCAATATTGTATCCCGAACTACGATTTTGGAGAAGAAAATCACTATGAATTTATAAACGCAAAGAAAATATTTTGTCATCTTGTCGTTTTCGTTTTCTGTTAGTTTTCCAGCATTCCGCGAGTTGCTGCAAATATTATGCAGATACCAAAAACAAAAAAAAAAATTGCAGCGCGCCCCAGAATAGCCGACGCGATCATGCGTTTTGTGCAATTCCGCCCACCAAACGATTGCCTATTAATGATTTTCACTGCTTTTCACTTTGGTCTGTGCAAAAATAGTTGAAATGTTGAAAAACAGTTAAAAATTCCACGGATCGGCACGTAAAAGCAGAACTTCAAACCTCGAAGAGGACGTTTCTTTCTCGCCAAAACTTTCACGGGGATGTTAAAAATTTGCGGTGTTGTATGTGGGCAGGGGATGTCACGCTAAAATTTCAGCTTTCTAGATTCCGTAATTCCCGAGACAATAATTTACCCGTAAAAGTTGTCACGGAGACGTAGATGATACATGAGAGAGAGGGAACGCTGAATTTCAACAGTAAGGTCGTGCATGGGCAGGGGGTCATTAACCAAAAATTTCAACTTTGTAGATTTCGTGCTTCCCGAGATAATAATTTACCCCCAAAAATTTCCACGGGGCTGTAGGTGATACCCGAGAGCGCGAGGATGCTGAATTTAAATTTGTAAGATCGTTCGTAGGCAAGGGCTCATTACCCTAAGATGTGAGCATCCTAGATTCCGTATTTCTCGAGATAATAATTTACCCGCAAAAATTTTCACAGGGCCATCGGTGATATTCGAGGGCGAGGGGATGCTCAATTTGAATATGTAAGGTCGCGTGTGCGTAAAGGATCACTAGCCCAAAATTTCAGCTCCCTAGATCCCGTGGTTCCCGAGACAATAACTTACTCGTCAAAATTTTCACGGGACCGTCCGTGTTACCCACAGGCAAGAGAAGGCTGGATTTAAATTTTCTGGGTCGCATGTGGGCAGTGGATGTGTCCACAAAATTTCAGCCTTGTAGCTTCCATGGTTCCCGTGATAATAATTTTACCTGCCAAAACATTTACGGGAACATACATGTTCTCCGCAGGCAGAGGAAAGATGGATTTGAATTTTCTGGTAGCACAGACTTCTAGCTTTTGTGGGCAGAAAATATGCCCATAAAATTTCAGCCTTCTAGCTTTCGTGGTTTCCGTGATAATAATTTTACCTGCGCAAACTTGTTACGGGGTCGTACGTGTTACCCGCGGGTACGGGGAGGCTGAATTTAAATTAGCGGGATCACACATGGGTGGGGAACGTTCCCCTAAATTTTTCAGCTTCCTAGCTTCTGTGGTTCCCAAGTTGAAAGTTTCGGACAAGTTGCTGTGGACACACACACACACACAAAGACAACCCCGTGACAATATGCGCCTTATACTGCTGTTATACAGCACAAAACGCATTTAAAAAAAAGCGAATTTCAGGACTACTAAACCAAAAATTTGTATACCGAATCGTTGAGTAATCTTTCTTTCATATAAATAAGCTGATCGTTCGGAAGCTGACCCGTTTTCTGGTAAATTTTCAGTTTCAACTGATGAATTGTGTTTAGTGATGTCATCTGCAACAGGATGAAGAAATAATCCGGCACTCACTAACAGTAGCACTGGTGGTGCGAATGAGTGCGAAAGTGAAGGCGATTTTTCTATCATATTTATATAACAAAATTTAACGTCAACAAAGTCTGTTCGGTAAGATAACTTATTGCACCCTAAAAGTGGCAAATTTTGGGATGAGATGGTGATGCTCAACTTATGCCGAAAAAATTTCGAAAAAAAAAAAAGAGAATAGAGCCTTGACAAGCGCTTTTGCTATGGACAAAGCTGGTAATCCCTCTAGGAGACGAAAAGAACGTTAGAATCGTCAATAAACTGATCAACAGAGGATGTAGCACTGGTCCCAGTTGCACAATTCGAGTAGACTATAAAATAAGCTGGTCCAACACCCAAGCATATAAAGCTAGTTTGTCAAGCAAGGAATTTAAGGGGAAAATGCACAGATGCCAGTAGCATGATCGACATCATTGATAAGAAGCTGTAACTTACCCTGAATACCATGGAACATTTTGCGACGGCACGTCTCGTTGTTGCATACCGCTCGCTGCGTATCAAAGATGATGCTGTACTGAACGGCGCCACTGCATCGCCGTTGGTTGCCTTTGTCGGCTCATCATTTTTGTCACTTTTCTAAAAATGCAAAAATAAAGCTGTTTTAGCGATCGCCGGCGAAAAAACGTCTTTCTGAGTAGGGACAACTTGCAGGTATAAGCTGTGTTACGATGAACAAAACGAATCATTTTAATAGTAATTTTAGAATTATTTTTTTCTGGCAGGGAAGCTTTGGACTAAGAACGCTGAGCAGCAACCACATAGCAAATCTTTCACTATATGAGATTCAGAATCCTCTCGTGTACAGAACTCACCAAAGGAAGTGATGGGTCTATCACATAAGATATGCAGACATTATTTACTCCAAATATCCCCTTTCTTTACTCCCCTAAACTGAGGTTTCAAAAAATAGCGAAGCTGTGAAATAAACAAGGACATACAAGTTTAACATAAATCTGTGCACCATTTTCGTATACAAAGCGCTGATGTTCGGCAAGAAGCTGCTGCTGCTGGAAGCACTCATCACAGAACGATTCACACACCCCTAAAAATGTGTTTAAAAAAATGCTGCAAATGAGTTGCTAACAATTTTTGGGTTGAGGAGCTGCTTAAGACTGTGGTTGGGGAGCTAGAGAGCTGAGTTTAAAATTTTTATCTCGCACGTGCGTAGAGAATATCAGCAGCTTAAGCTATTCAAAAAATGACAACCGACAATAAAAGATTTTATAGTCATAGAGTGAATGAACACAGCTACACCGGGAACCTGCCGCTCTCCTCTTCTACCTCCCCCTCCCCTTTTACCCTTCCTCCTCTTTCTTCCCTCGTAATTTGGCAACAAATATAGGCATACTGATGCTGGAAAGAGTCGGAAAGATGGCTCCTCCGGGAACAAATAAGAGTATGCGCAACTAGTTAAAACAAGCACGATTATTTTGCATAATTTTATGCGTCAGATGCTAATTTTGTCCCTACTAATGAACTAACAATAAAACAATGATAATCCATCAAAATTTCAGCTTTCTA